CTGTGTGTAAAGTTTGGTCCAATTCTATCGTTGGTGGGGTTCAGAATGCTATTTCATTTGTATCTGTCCGAACGCATCTCCTTCTACGTCCCGCCTCGAAGTTTAAAATCTTCTGGGGAGGCCCTGCTCTCGGCCCCACCTCTATCACAAGTGAGATTGGTGGGGACGAGGAGCAGGGCCTTCTCGGTGGTGGCCCCTCACCTGTGGAATTCACTCCCTGGGGAAATTAGGTCATCGACATCCCTCCTCTCCTTTAGAAGGAAATTAAAAACATGGATCTGGGACCAGGCCTTTGGGTAATCTGGCGGATAGATAAGGGACAAGCGACGACTAGAATTGATGGATTGGACAATGTGGGATTTGAATTTACGGACTCTGAGCTGGTAAACGTTGAGCACTATATTGTTTTTAGGGATTGTGATGTATAATGGATTGTTTTAATTGTTTTAATTGCTGTTTATATATGTTTTATTTTTACCTTGTTGTTGTGCTGGCATCTAATTGTGCCTTTTGTAAGCCTCCCTGAGTCCCTCCTCGGGGGTTGAGAAGGGCGGGGTAGAAGTGCGAGAAATAAAATAATTAAATAACACCAAACTATAAATCCCAACAACTACAACTCCCAAATGACAAGGTCTATTTTCTCCAAACTCTACCAGTGTTCACATTTGGGCATATTGAGTATTTGTGCCAAGTTTGATCCAGATCCATCATTGCTTGAGTCCACAGTGTTCTCTGGATGTAGGTGAACTACAACTCCAAAAACTCAAGGTCAATGTCCACCAGACCTTCCCAGTATTTTCTCTTGGTCATGGGAATTCTGTGTGCCATGTTTGATTCAATTCCATCATTGATGGAGTTCAGAAGGCTCTTATTTAGGTGAACTATAAATCCCAGCAACTCCAGCATTACCAAATGACCAAATCAATCACCCCCAACCCCACCAGTATTCAAATTTGGGAGTATTGGGTATTTGTGCCAAATTTGGTCCAGTGACTGAAAATACATCCTGCATATCAGATATTTACATTACAATTCATAACAGTAGCAAAATTACAGTTATGAAGTAGCAACGAAAATAACGTTATGGTTGGGGGTCACCACCACATGAGGACCTGTACTAAGGGGTCGCGGCATTAGGAAGGTGGAGAACCACTGCCATAGACTTCCCACCATGGCAACTTCTCTCCCTTCATGCGTTTTCCATATAATGGAAGATGAGAGGGACCAAAAACTCACATGCTCTCAAAGGTGCATCTGAGCTGAACCAGACATTTTATTCCCCACTTTCTCTATCCAGAGATTTTGAAAAGGCTGAGCTGCCAAAAGGAGAGAGCAAATATTATCCCTGGATTGGTTGCTGCAGTCCTAGCATTTCGTTTCTGACAATAAGGCAAATCCATGACAGCATTCCAGTCATTTCGATGGCGTGGGTTCGAATCCCACCGCTGCCACCAATTATAACGCCTCAGAGGCTTCACAAGGCAGGGGGGTCAAGGAATCCCACCGCTGCCACCAATTATAATAACTCAGAGAGGCTATCTGGGCAGGGGGGTCAAAGAATCCCACCACTGTCCCTCCTTCAATAAGGAATTCACACCACTTTGGCTCTTATAGTGTTTGAGGGGATGTCTCGTTATGTAAAACCTTCGCTGCCACCATAAACGAAAGAAATCACGAACCCTCTAGCTATTTAGAATGGTAAAATGCTGTTTAAATTAATAAAAGGCTTTTTACTCCACCAAATGCTGTGTATTATCAAGGGCTTTCTTTGAGGGGAAAACAGGAGAGGTTGATTCAACAAGGAAAATGACTCCAACCAAAAATGGCACTTGACTCAGGCTTTAATTTTAAAGATAACAAGAAAGATTATTGTTTACAAATTACAAGATTAAAAAGCGAATGCAGGTTCAGAGGCTTGGTGGTTACAAATACAAGTGTTCTTGGTTCTTATAAGCGTAATGGTTACTTGAGAGAAATGGTTCTTTCTTTTGTTACAATTGGTTAAACACAAAAACCCAGCTATTTACTTTCCTAAAATAGCTGTAACTCAGTCTGCCACAGCCTACTGTGCTGTGCAAACTACAGGCAAACTGCCTATTCTTTACAGAGACTCCTAAATCCTGCTCTAACCTCTCTCAGAACTGAACTCTCTACTCTAATCTGAACTGAACTCAGAACTGAACTCCACTCTCAAAATTAAGCTGCTCTCTTTCCCTCCAACTGGCTAACTCCGCCCCCCTTTTACCAACCAATCCTGGCTGTTGCTGGGCTGGCTCAGGCCTAGGCCACTCCCCACTCTGAACTGGAGTCTTCCCTAAACTAAGATGGCTCCTGCAGCTCTCTGCCAGGCCTTCTAAGCTGAAACTACCTAGCCTGTCTCTTCCTGGGCCCTGCCACCCTGGCTGGCAAGGTAAGGGATCTTTACATTGGTGTGTGTTATCATTTAGTTATCAAGTTATCCATTTTTGCATCTATGACAGACTAAAGGAAACAAAGCCTGTGGATATGATCCCCATATCCACAGGGAATAATGACACAGACCAACACAAACTTTGTATTGTTGAAGGCTTTCATGGCCAGAATCACTGGGTTGTTGTAGGATTTTCGGGCTCTGTGGCCATGTTCTAGAAGCATTCTCTCATGACGTTTCACCTGCATCTGTGATAGGCATCCTCAGACGTTGTGAGGTCTGTGGGAAATTAGGAAAATGGGGTTTACATATCTGTGGAATGTCCTGGATGGGAGAAAGAGCAGATGATGATTGGCTAGTAGATGGTACATGTTCTGTATTTCACAAACTTGAGTTGATAGGATGAACTCTATATCCCAGCAACTACAACTCCCAAATGTCAAGGTCTATTTCCCCCAAACTCCATCTGTGTTCATATTTGGGCATACGGAATATCCATGCCAAGTTTGGTCCAGATCCACAGTGCTCTCTGGATGTAGATGAACTATAATTCCAAAACTCAAGGTCAATGCCCACCAAACCCTTCTTGTGTTTTCTTTTGGTCATGGGAGTCCTGTGTGCTGAGTCTGATTCAATTGCCTCATAGAATCATAGAATCAAAAAGTTGGAAGAGACCTCCTGAGCCATCCAGTCCAACCCCATTCTGCCAAGAAGCAGGAATATTGCATTCAAAGCACCCCTGACAGATGGCCATCCAGCCTCTGTTTCAAAGCCTCCAAAGAAGGAGCCTCCACCACACTCCCTCCGGGGCAGAGAGTTCCACAGCTGCATCGTTGGTGGAGTTCAGAATGTTCTTTGATTGTAGGTGAACTATAAATCCCAGCAACTACAACTCCCAAATAACAAAAGCATTGGTTTTTTAGTTATGGTCACTCCTTGGGTTAGTAGGTGTCTTGTGGCCAAATTTGGTGGCAATTCATGCAACGGATTTAGAGTTATGATGCCACTCAAAGCGAAGAGAGCATTTATACATACACACATATATATACGTATATAGACTAGCTGTCACCTGCCACGCGTTGCTGTGGCCCAGTTTGTGTATATGTGTTTTGTGTGTATATATGTGCATATATTTGCATATATGTGGTTTGGCTCATGCCTTGTAATGTATTTTTTATTTTATTTTTTGGCTTTTAAAGTCCCTCTCACTGTGTTTTTTACGAGTGATGGTCACTCGTTGGCCTGAGAGGGGTCTTGTGTCCAAATTTGGTATCAATTGGTTCATTGGTTTCTGCGTTATGTTAATCCCACAAATGAACATTACATTTATATTTATATAGATGTAGTCGTATTCCAACAGTAATCAGTTTATTTCCCATCCCCCGTAATTCATAGTGACCTTTGGAATGATGAGTTGTTCCTAGTATGGGCTTGATACAGCATTACCAATCCGTCTCGTGATATTTCTCTATTGTTATTGTTCTGCCGTATTTATTTGTGTGTTTCTGTGATTACTTTTTCCTTGAACAGAATGTGACAGTAAAAGATGGATACTATATTGTTTGGGGAGAAGAGGGAACGCAGATACAAGCGTTGTTGTTGATATTTGTGGAGAGTGCAATGCTTTCAAAATATTTTGAATTCCACGAAAGACCTGGGAATTGTGCACGGCAAAACAGATGATCTCACAACCTGGAGGCATCGAAATGGAATGAAGTGGAATAGTCTGAAGCATGAGGTCATGCGCTCAAGGACTCATAATGTTTTGGAGGGTTTTCTCAATTATTATCGTCTGGGGACGGTTCAGCTGGACAAAGCCAAGGAGGAATGTGAGCTGGAGATCATGATTGATCACAGGATGTCTGAGCCACAAATGTGATGCAGCTGCAAAAAAGGCAGAGGCGACGACGGGGTTTCTGTGGTCGGACAGAAACCACTGGGTGAGGTCATCCGGAGTTTGGGAGTTGGGTGTCATCTGTACGCAGATGACACCCAACTCTACTACTCATTTCCACCGAATTCCAAGGAAGCTTCCCAGACCCTGAACCAGTGTCTGACGGCTGTGATGGACTGGATGAGGGCTAACAGGTTGAAGCTTAATCCAGACAAGACAGAGGTCCTCCTGGTCAGTTGTGGGGCTGACCGCGGTATTGAGTAGCAACCTGTGCTCAAAGTGGTTACACTCCGCCTGAGGGCGCAGGTCTGTAGCTTGGGAGTCCTCCTGGATGCTCAGGTGTCGCCAGTGGCCAGGAGGGCCTTTGCACAACTTAAACTCGTGCACCAGTTGCGACCATACCTCATGAAGTCTGACTTGGCCAGCGTGGTCCATGCCTTGGTTACATCCAATTAGATTTAAAGCGGAGAAAAAGTAAATAAAGGAGAAGGAGGGAGGGAGAGAGGCAGAAAGAAAGAAAAAAAGAAAGAGGGAGGGAAGGAATGAAGGAGAAAAAAGAAGGGAAAGAAAAAGGAGAAGGGAAGAAGAAAGAAAAAGGAGGGAAGGAAGTAAGGGGGAAAAGAAAGGAAAGGAAAGAGAAAGGAGAGATAAAGTGGGTTATAAATAAATATAATAATAATAATATATTAATAAAATTCATTTTAAAATACGAAAAAGAGAATCCCGCTCCTTGCGTTGTGTCTCCCGCTGGCTCACCGTACAGTTGTACTTGACGCAGTCGTCCCAGAAGCCAGAAGCAGAGAACTTCTTCCGCACCACCACCGTCAGCCCGTGGAGGAGGCACTGCCCCACGCCCACAATGTTACCTGGAAAAACAAAGACAAACAACAACAACAGGGCTCCAACAGGGAGTCTGAACATGGCAATGCCCACCCCTTGTTCTTCTGTATTGCCCTGTTGACTCTAATCTAATGCTCGCCTTTTCTGGCTAAATTACCTGGCCAAAATTAGTGTGTGCATTACAATTCCTGTAATACGGTAATCTCAATGCTGAACCAATGGAAAAGGGGAAGCTGCTGCAGGAGCTCCTCTTTGAGCAACCTCACCTCTAATGTAATTGTCATCACACAATGCTATGCTATTCTGGGAATTGTAGTTTGGTGAGGCATGGAGTACCTGCGGAGTGATACAAGGGGAGGCAATTGTAAACCACGTCGTCCGATCTCATCCGGAATCCATTGTACACCAACGACGCCATGCGGTAATACCTGCGGGCAGGAGAGCATTGCTTAAGACCAGGGAGGGAGAAATGTACTTTGCATAAGGCATTTGCTTTGTGTCATTGCACACTTAGCACGCCAAACGGATTGCACAATACAAAGAGGAGCCAAGAGTGTGATGCGGCAGCAGCAAGACAGTATACACCTAACAACCCAATGTATGTCCTTCACTCAAAAAAATTTGATTTTGTCATTTGGGAGTTGTAGTTGCTGGGATTTATAGTTCACCTACAATCAAAGAGCATTCTGAACTCCACCAATGGTGGAATTGAACCAATCATGGCACACAGGACTCCCATGACCCACATGGGCATTGATGGGCATTAACCTTGAGTTTGGGATTTGTAGTTCACCTACATAAAGAGATCACTGTTGACTCAAACAATGATGGATCTGGACTAAACATGGCACAAATACTCAATATGCCCAAATGAGAGCACTGGTGGAGTTTGGGGGGAAATAGATCTTCACATTTGGGAGTTGTAAGTTACGGGGATTTATAGTTCTCCTACAATCAAAGAGCATTCTGAACTCCACCAATGATGGAATTGAACCAAACGTGGCACACAGGACTCCCATGACCAACAGAAAACACTAGAAAAGTTTGGTGGGTATTAACCTTGTGTTTGGGAGTCATAGTTCACCTACATCCAAAGAGCACTGTGGACTCAAACAATGATGGATCTGGACCAAACTTGGCACAAATATTCCATATGCCCAAATAAGAACACAGACAGAGTTTGGGGGAACTAGACCTTGACATCTGGGAGTTATAGGTTACTGGGATTTATAGTTCTCCTACAATCAAAGAGCATTCTGAATTCCACCAATGATGGAATTGAACCAAACGTACCATACAGGACTCCCATGACCAACAGAAAACACCAGAAGGGTTTGGTGGGCATTGACCTTGAGTTTGGGAGTTGTAGTTCACCTACATCCAGAGAGCATTGTGGACTCAAAAATGATGGATCTTGACCAAACTTGGCACAAATATTCCATATGTCCAAATATGAACACAGATGGAATTTGGGGCAAAAAGACCTTGACATTTGGGAGTTGTAGTTACTGGGATTTATAGTTCACCTACAATCAAAAGGCATTCTGAATCCCACCAATGACAGAATCGGGACAAACTTCCCACGCAGAACCCCCATAACCAACAGAAAATACTTAAGGCCATTCAGTCCAACTTTCTTCACCAGGGCAAGAAAATGTAATCAAAGCCCTCCTGACAAAGAGCCATCCAGTCATAAATATAGATATAGTGTATGAGATATAGTATCATAGATTTGAAAGGGACCCCTAAAGAAGGACAATGATATGTTGCATGTTCCAGAGTAGGCAAACCAGACAATCTCCACATCAACACTGACAAAGAAATAACAAGAAATACTGTTTACCCACAAGCATCAAGACATTACATATATTAGAATCCAACACTTTCACATTACTTTATTTTCCAGATCAGCAGACTGGGCCACAGCAATGTGTGGTAGGGGATGGCTAGTGTATAAATATTAAAATAAATATAGCATCCCTACATCGCGGTTTTTCACTTATCCTGGAACGTAATCCCAGCAGTAAGTGAGGGAACACTGTATAGATCGAGGGAAGTCAGGCCTGGACCAACTTCGGCCCTCCCTCCAGGTCAGTGTTTCTCAACCTGGGGGTCGGGACCCCTGGGGGGGTCGCGAGGGGGTGTCAGAGGGGTCACCAAAGGCCATCGGAAAACACAGTGTTTTCTGTTGGTCATGGGGTTTCTGTGTGGGAAATTTGGCCCAATTCTATTGTTGGTTGGGTTCAAGATGCTCTTTGACTCTAGGTGAACTATACATCCCAGCAACATAACTCCCAGATGGTAATGTCTATTTCCCCCAAACTCCTCCATTGTTCACATTTCAGCATATTGAGCATTTGTGCCAAGTTAGGTCCAGATCCATTATTGTTTGAGTCCACAGTGCTCTCTGGATGTAGGTGAACTACAACTCCAAAACTCAAGGTCAATGTCCACCAAATCCTTCCAGTATTTTCTCTTGGTCATGGGAGTTCTGTGTGCCAAGTTTGGTTCAATACCATCCTTGGTGGAGTTCGGAATGTTCCTTGATTGTAGTGAACTATAAATCCCAGCAACTACAACTCCCAAATGACAAAATCAATCCCACCCYAACCCCACCAGTATTCAAATTTGGGCACATCGGGTATTTGTGCCATATTTGGTCCAGTGAATGAAAATACATTTAGCAAATCAGATATTTGCATCATGAAAATAACATTATGGTTGGGGGTCACCACAACATGAGGAACTGTATTAAGGGGTCACGGCATGAGGAAGGTTGAGAACCACTGCTCCAGGTGTTTTGGACTCCAACTCCCACAATTCCCAATAGCCAGCCCCAAAGTTTGTCCTCTTGGAACTGGACGCTTCAATCAATCAAGGGATCATCTGCATACCCACGTTATGGGAGTCCAAAACACATGGAGTTGGCCCAGGCCTGATTTAGATTCACACAAAGCCCCATTTCACTGACCTCGAATGGACGATGATGGCAGCCTTAGGCAGACCCGTCGTGCCCGAAGTGTAAATATAGAACAGTTTATCTGGAAAGCAAAAAAGAACGAACATTTGTTGCAACCCTGTAGTCCGTTTTCTCCCTTCGCTTCCTTTTCAAGACCTGAACCTGCAAGGCCAGGGCTGTTCATAAGTGTGGCATCTCCATCACAGAGAGATGAAAGCAGGCTAACATTATTATTACTAATAATACTAATAAGATGGGCATGCATTACAATATATGGATTTTATAGTAATGTGTATGGATTTTATTGCATGTTTTTGTTGATGTGTTTAAGCAAAGTTGTGCCCTGCCTTGAACCTTAGAAATAATAATAATAGGAATTATTATTATTATTATTATTATTATTATTATTATTAAGGTGGGCATGCATTGTAATATATTACAATGCACGCCCACCTTAATAATAATAATAATAATAATAATAATAATAATAATAATAATAATTTCATAGTACAGTGTTCCCTCGCTACTTTGCGGTTCGCTTTTAGCAGACTTGCTGTTTTGTGTTTTTAAAAAAATATTAATTTAAAATATATATTGTGGCATTTTCGGTGTTTCGCGGGTTTTTGCCGCCGCCGCCACTCTCCGGGGCGCTTTCCCTCCTCAGTCTTCCCTCCTTCCCTCCAGCCTTGAAGGGCCTTTCCTTCCTTCCCTTCCCTTTATTTTAAGTTTATAAAGACTTAAAATAGTGTATAACTACTAAAATAATGTATAAATATTAAAATAAATATAGCGTCCCTACATCGCAGTTTTTCACTTATTGCGGGAGGTTCTGGAACGTAACCCCTGCAATAAGTTAGGGAACACTGTAATAATAATAATAATAATAATAATAATAATAGTGTGCATGCATTATAATATATGCATTTTATACTAATGTATTTTAATATACGCATTTTATTTTAAGTATTTTTTCCATTAAGTTGTGCCCTGCTTTAAGCCTTATAAATAATAATAATAATAATAATAATAATAGGATGGATATGCATTGTAATATATGTATTTTATAGTAGTGTGTATGCATTTTATTACATGTTTTGATGATGTGTTAAGTATGCTTTGCCTTCTCTTGAGCCTTAGAAGTAATAAGAATAATAATAATAGGAATTATTATTACTAATAATAATAGGGTGGGCATGCATTGTAATATATGCATTTTATAGTAACGTATTTTAATATATGCATTTTTATTGTATGTATTTACTGTGTTTTTTTTTCACTAAGTTGTGCTCTGCTTTAAGCCTTAGAAATATTATTAATAATAATAGAATGGATATGCATTGTAATATATGTATTTTATAATAATGTGTATGCATTTTATTACATGTTTTGGTGATGTGTTTTAAGTATGCTTTGCCTTATCTTAAGGCATAGAAGTAATAATAATAATAGGAATTATTATTACTAATAATAATAGGGCGGGCATGCATTGTAATATATGCATTTTATAGTAACGTATTTTAATATATGCATTTTATTGTATGTATTTATTATGGGTTTTTTTTCACTAAGTTGTGCCCTGCTTTAACCCTTAGAATAATAATAATAATAATAATAATAATAATAATAATAATAATAATATGGATATGCATTGTAATATATGTATTTTATAGTAGTGTGTATGCATTTTATTACATACATTTTATTACATATGGTGATGTGTTTTAAGTATGCTTTGCCCTCTCTTGAGCCTTAGAAGTAACAACAATAATAATAAAAGCAGGAATTATTATTATTAATAATAATAGGGCGGGCATGCATTGTTATATATGTATTTTATAGTAGTGTATGCATTTTATTACATATGTTTTGGTGATGCGTTTTAAGTATGCCTTGCCTTCTCTTGAGCCTTAGAAGTAATAATAATAATAGTAATAATAATAGGAATTATTATTAATAATATTAGGGCAGGCATGCATTATTATGTATTTTATAGTAATGTGTATGCATTTTATTACATATGTTTTGGTGATGTGTTTTAAGTATGCTTTGCCCTCTCTTGAACCTTAGAAGTAATAATAATAAAAGCAGGAATTATTACTATTATTAATAGGGCGGGCATGCATTGTTATTTATGTATTTTATGCATAAATATGCATTTTATTACATATCTTTTGGTGATGTGTTTTATGTATGCTTTGCCCTCTCTTGAGCCTTAGAAGTAATAATAATAATAATAATAATAATAATAATAATAATAATAGGAATTATTAATAATGATAATAGGACAGACATGCATTGTTACATAAATATTTTATAGTAATGTGTATGCATTTTATTGCATATGTTTTGGTGATGTGTTTTAAGTATGTTGTGACCTCTCTTGAACCTTAGAAGTAATAATAATAATAATAATAATAATAATAATAATAATAATAATAATAATAATAGGAATTATTAATAATAATATTAGGGCAGGCATGCATTATTATGTTTTTTATAGTAATGTGTATGCATTTTATTACATATGTTTTGGTGATGTGTTTTAAGTATGCTGTGCCCTCTCTTGAGCCTTAGAAGTAGTAGTAGTAGTAGTAGT